TATTTTATCAAAATCTTTATCAATGACAATTTAATGAACCATTTTTTTTAATTATAAATAGAAAGAAGTTGTTTTATTTTGCAAAAATTATAATTTTAATTATACAAAGAGCAAAAATTACATGTCTTTTGATTAGAAGTTTGTTTCTATGGGAAATGTTAACGTTTTCAAGGTCATATGTAACTGTTTTTGATTATTTTAATCTATTCATAGGCGTCTCATGTAGGATGACTAACGGTGTTTGTGCCTCTGGGTACAACAAACACAGGTTTCAGAAATATTTTATAAACTGACATGTGACTGACTATTTTTTTATTTCTTTCTCAAAACATTTTTTCAAAATTTTTCAATTGTTTGTGTAATTTTCTAAGAAAATGGCTTAATTTATCTGATAAACCAACCAAAAATGTGTACAATTTCGAACCATAAATGAATGTAGAATTACCAATATTTCGTTCAACTTACAAAAAAATCGGATTTTACATAATTTTTATCTACCAAACTACTACTTTTTCTCTAAAATCTGTTGTGTAAAGTTACATCAATAAACCATAAATTAATGTGAAATTACCAGTATTTCATTTCTATTTCAAAAAAGTTCAGTTTCACATAATTTGTCTCTCAAATCTACTCAAAATGTGTAAAATTTCTCAAATACTGAAATGTAAAGTTACATCAAATGAATATAATTATTTTCCCAAAAAAAAACTTCGAACTTTTTATAATTTTTTCATTTATTTGTATAAATCTACTTAAAGTTACATAGGTAAATGAACCATAAAAAATTAATGTAAAATTACTAATATTTCTTCCTTACAAAAAAGCTTAGATTTTAAATAATTTTTCATTTATTTCTATAAATTCTTTTCGGGTTCTAAAATCTACTTGTGCAACGTTACGTCAGTGAATTTAAAATGTGTTTAAAATTACAAATTTTTATCTGTCATTATTTTTTGACATTTAATAATTTTATTTATCTCTATTTAATGATATGGATGATCTTGAATTGTTTTTTGTATAATGATTTAGTAAAGGTAGAAAAACTTTAACAATAAAAGACATAAATGTCATTAAACAGAGTTACAATTTAGGATACAGCTTCCTTGTTTTGTTGCCTGTAGCAAAAAAAACTCGTAAAATTGTATTTCCAACAGAAATAGAGTCAAGTATGAAATTGAAACTCTCATAACTTCGAAATTTTTATAGGTAGAATTTTTTAAACATTTTTTCCATGTTCCTCGTATCTTACTTTACATTTTTCTCTGGGGCGCGAGTTCTGGCGCACTCTGTATAATATTTCTAGCATTTTACCTGATTTTTGTAGTTTTGATATTCACTTATATTTAAAAAAAAAATTAATTAACAGTTTCTGCAGCATTGCTTAACACTCTCGTAAAAATATTAATTAAATGGGAATATAAGAGGATATTTAATTAATAACAGTAATTGCGCTAATTAATTATGGAATAGTTAACTGATTTATTGATAAGCCTTTTAAGTGGCTCAAAACTCGAGTAACCCTCTTGAAACCTCTTGAAAAGTAGCAAGTTATCGTCGAGTCGAGTTTCTCTCATCCGGCCCTTCTCTTTTCAATCGTTCGAAAAGTGGCCATCCTAAGCAAACAGGTCCCTATTGTGCTTCTTCTATTGTTAAAAATCGTTTCGGAGTACCTCTCAAGTACGTCTTATTAATTTGGTGGTTGATTGGCAGAGTGCAACTTCCGATACCATCATCATCATCATCATCTCCCGGATTAAAAATCCATTAGGGGCATTTTGTAACACTTCTTGTAAAATCGCATTTGAAAAATCACCCGCTGTGCAAATCCATCAACAAAAGTACACAAACCCGGCATGCGGGCCGTTGTTCATTTTATATTTGTGAGCCGAGGCATTTATCGGCCGTCGGAAAACGAATCGCGTTCAAAATTTTGCCTAAATTTAAACCGACAATAGGGATTGTCAACCTCGATCACAAATCTAGATGATTGAAAAGCGGTGCAAAACAAGTAACAGATGTTTACGACGAAAATAACGAAATTCGATACAGGAGGAGAAGTCTTGTGGTATTTAGGGAATTACCTATGCCGATTGATGTAATAAAACAATTTACTACATTGAACAAATAAACAGTCGGAAAAATTACCGAGTAATTTATTTATTTCCAATCATTATTTTCTCGTTACGATGAATTACTGTTTGGAACTGTTTATGAAATGTCATTTTTTTTTTCCTCTCTCTTGACGATTAATTTTCACCAGAAATGTGAAATATAGACACATTGGGTTTGCGGAATGACAGATGGTGGCGTTTTTGATAAATTGAAGAAACAGTTGCACGGAAAACCCACAAAGGGGGCTTTAGGGCCCATTTTGCTTGTCTTAATTATTCGCAGAACTGCTCCAATTAAGGCGAAAATCAACATACATGAAATTGCCAATTATTCATAATTGAGGTTTTTCTTATATTTAAATTTTTGACCTACACATTTTAATTGTTTTGTTTTTAAACTTGTTTCATTTTTTTAATGTTCTGATGATAACGTTATGGCAAAAGATATTTCCACAAAAATTGTTTTATATCTTTTGAAAATAACAAAAATCTAAAAAATTGTGGTAAAATTCTGTTGTAAAGAAAAAAATGCAAATAGTTATTTTTTAGTAATTTTATTTTTATTCCAATTAATTTGTTTACCTGCAACCGTCACAAAAGGGACTACTTGTATGACTAAATGTCACAAGTAACAGTTTTACCTTTCAGCCATGGAGTAAAAGTCCTGTTTTTGTGCCTAGCATTTTTACTTTTATCATGACTTTTAGCATTTACTTTCGCTGGTTCAGCAATCTAGGAAGAGGTACATTATAGATCATCACCATTCGACATTTTTCACTACTAACTGCACTAGTTAACTCAACTCTCAACACAAATTCTGATACTGAAGCGTGATGTTTGTTTATAAGCGTTGTTATGATATCCTTACTTGCAAAGCGTCCTGATTATTTTGTTCATTTACTTGCTTATTACAGTGTTGTTCTTTCTTTTGATCTGAATACGTTTAAAAGTAAAATTTATAGTTTGTGTGGCGAGACTGAATGTTTATTATTTATTTTTATTATTATTTTTATTTTGCCAAGTATTATATTGCCAATTTTTTTGTCAAACTTTTTCAGAAAAGTTAAAAAATCACCAAATTAGTTAAGAAAATAATTTTATTTGTTTTTTTAGATGATATTTCACCCATCAGAGTAAAAAAATCACGTTTTTGAGCACAATTAGGACAAAAATAAGCCGAGAAACTGCATTTAAACACGTTTTTGTAATAAAATCTCAGGTTTTTCGCAAAATTTCGCTACCACACCGAAAAAATCAACAAATTAAATTGAAAATTATAATATTTTTGCATTTCTTGAGCGTTATAGGGCGTTTTTCAGCTAGAATTTTGTTAAAAACAAGCAAAAAATTAGACAAAAAACAATGTCACTTTTTTGGCTTTCTCAAGAACTTTAGCAAATTTTAAAGTGGAAAACTCAGTATGTGGCTCAGCTGAATTATTTAACTACATATTATTATAGTTACTGCTTTTACTTCTATATTTTTACCAACAGAGTTAGAATATCTTAAATTTACTAATTTTTCTAATTATTAACTGCAAGTTTTTTAGATTAAAACAACAATTTGCTATATTTTTATTAAATTTTTACATTTAATAGTTTTTTCTCTAAGATGAACAAAACTACAGTGCGATCAAAAAGTCTTTCTATCAAGTAGGCGTTCTAGTTGAGGACGTAGGTTGCATGGCAGTTCGTATGTTATCAAGATGTCAAAAAATTATTTTATAAAAATTAAAACATTGAGATAATTAAATTGAATTATTCTATGAAACGTCTCAAAACAAACTAAAATGAGATCTTGTTGGTGTTTATTCATAAAAATCGTTCACCACGGTGATCTGTTATAATTTACATAGACATACGTTTTAAATTTCTACGCTTGCTTGATAGACAGACTTTTTGATCGCACTGTATCTTAAAGCTTTAGTTATTGACATTTTGACAGTGACAAAAATTATTTTTTTATTTAAAAGATTAAATGTAATTTTTGTAAAATTACATATAATTTTATAGCTTAAAAGTTGGCATTTAAACAAGTTTAGAGACAAAATAAAATTAAAAGTTTTTCTTTATGTAGAAATTAACACGAATTTGCAAATGTTTTGTGGAAATAGTTTTTGGTTTGTGGGGGCTCGCGGCGCAGCCGCTCACC